TATATAATGAGCGGCAAAACAATTTGGGAGTCCCGCTTAGTTTTTGTTATAACTTTGGTCAGTGATAGCAGAGATTACTTAGAAAACGTCATCATAGATATAACCGGGAATCTGAAAATTTCGATTGGCTCCAAAAAAAAACCTAAGTAAAAATTAAAAAGGGTTGGCGATTAAAAACCCTTTTGGCTTCTGTCTTCTCACTTCTTTCACAACCAAGCCGGCCGACACACTAAATCTCGATCCCAATCCTTGTCAATCTTCTTTCAACCCTTGTCAACCCTTTTGGCTTATATTCTCTCTTATTCAAATCTAAGACGGATCTGTCTAACGCTCGATCCGTCTCACTCTCTCTGAGCCTCGATCTATGTCACTCCATCTTACTCTCGATCCATCTTTCTCGCGATCCTTTCACTCTCGAGACGTCTCTCTTACTATCACTCTCAATCCTTTTCGATCCGTTAGTCTATAGTCACATGCATTCTTCAAAATCAAAATTGTGCGGTTGAAATTGAGACTGAAGGTCATAGTTATGTTTGAGTGCTCTTTATTCGCAATGATTCAGTGAATTTTCATGTTGGGTTGTAATCCGTCTCGGTTATTTTGTTATGTTGCAGGAAGATTTCGGATAAGGTTCAATTGGAGGTCACAGAAATTGGTAACTTTTTACTTTATATCTTGGTTTTGGGTTAGAAGGATTTCGTAAATTGGTTCTTTGATCATATAGTATTTTGTATATGTGTAGTTCATATCTATGTGATTGTTGTTTGCAGGTGGATTTCCCAAAGTACAAGAATTACAAGGTATATACGATTATGTACTTCTTTCGATTTACATATTTGCATTTTTAACATAGGTGTCTTGTACTGATTCCATGACCCTATGTTGTTTTATTTTTGCAGAATCTTGTTCTTAGTGTTGCAGTTTTTGTTCTTTGGTTATTTGTGTAAGCTATAATTCCATTACTTTTTGTTCTCCAGTTTGTTTCTCATGTGATTTACTAGATGTCTGATCATTAAACTTATTATCGTAAAG